TCAGAAGTGAGATTTTCACATCATTGACCTTCTTGACTTCAGGGAGCAAAGCGGAACTATCAGTTCTCTGCTGCACATGTCAGCAGAGAGAAGAGGAGAGCACCCTAGGTGATGACTGTCTTTCATATTTGGTTTGTCCAGAGAGTTTATGTTACGGTTCACAGGTGAAAATTGGTCCCTTGTAGATAGTCGCCAATGTGAATTTCCAGATGACCCTGTCCAGTTTAGTCTTGCAATAAATGAAATAACCATATTTCTGTTTGAATGAGGATTGATTCAGTTGTCTTTCTGAGACACCATAGAAAAATTCTCAAAGGCTGAATTAAACTGATAAAAATTAGAGTGCTGTCTTTTCTAAATGATAGATGTTAGTTTGTTTTGTGCTAGCATAGTCAGGGGTAGCTTTAGTATATGTTCCTTCCAATACCTATAAACTATGCTGGTAATCCTATGATGTCCCTGGCACAGTGGGTTGTTTGTATTGTTGAAAGCTCTTAAGAGATTTTCCATCACTGACCTGTAGCATGTGGGCCTCAGCTTGTTTTGGAAAAGCAGTGCCTTAACTTTTTGTCCTGGTTCAGAAAAGCTCATCTGACTTAGCACTTCCGCTAACTCTTTAAACTGTGCCCCAACTTGTAGTTCTTAGGGTGGGCAGTTTTCTAAAGTAACCCACGCAACTTTTTTCTTCTGAGGGGCCCATCCTTCTTCAGGCTACACTGATGCTCAGGATTCTTTTGGTGTTTGAGGAGCTCTTGATGCAGCTGGGAATCTAGGCCAGCTTTCAGGAGCTCAGCCTGGCAGGACTACAGTGTCCATCCACCAGCAAAGATGTGTTCGGGAATCCTGGCAAGAAGTAGCTGCTCAGGCATAAAGAAAACTGGTCAGAGTTTAAATCTATATGTATACTAAGAATTTAGAAACCGTATGGATGAAGTGACAGTTAATCTTAGGGAGACAGTTTCTCCCAACCACAGCTTTCTATCTAGTAATGTGAAGAAACCTCTTTCCAGGAGTTGTTCAGCAAAGAAAGATCAAAGGAGAGTTCAGAGTCAGGAGAAACCTATTTAAAATTTAAAATTTCCCAGAAAAATAAGTTCTCTTGCTGAGTATGTGCATTTGTATGACACAGTGGTTCGTGTTTATTCTCTCTCTCTCTCTCTCTCTCTCTCTCTCTCTCTCTCTCTCTCTCTCTCTCTCTCTCTCTCTCTCTCTCTCTCTTTTTCTTTTCTCTTTCCTGGAGATTGAACCCAGAACCTTTCCACTGAACTGTACCCCTAGTCCCACACCTTTGTTTTGAGACTGTTTCGCTAAATTGCCCAGAATGGGCTTGAACTTATGATCCTCCTGCCTCAGCTTCCCAGAGAGCTTACAGCATGTGCCACCACACTTACCTGGAAGGGTATTCTTAAGAGAAGCTAGTCTAGTCATTTGTTATTGTGAGTGCCTCATGGTGAGAAATACAGTCACTAACATTACAATTTGGCACTACTGTCTCAATTGATGCTAATGTGGCAAGAGCTTTACCCATGAGTTTGCACCATTAGTGAAAATGTTAACCCAGTAGAAAGACCAATAATTGTCTTAATGATATCCTGAAAATAGTTGTGGGCTTTAAAAGCCCACATACACTATCTTCAGATAGTTAAGATACTTATACAGCTAGTTTCTCTTATTTCATTGAGAAGAAAGGTTAGTGCTAAATTTTTTCAACAGTATTTCATGCCTATATCTTGTACTCGGAACAACTACTATGAACATAACAATATGCAATTTGTTAATTATTGGTACTCTCCTACTACCCTATTTTAAAACTGTTGTTATTTTTTTGTTTACAAAAAGATTTTTAAGAATGGAAGCAAAACAGTAAAAAGTGAGAAAAATGTTGAGGAGAAAACACACCAGTACCAAGGAATGATTCATTTATGTGATAAAGGTACTATGTACATAAAGGCACGTGCATAAGGAAATAGAAAATTACACCAAAATGTTTTCAATGATTATCTTGAGTGTAAGAATATAGGTGATTTTTGTTTCCATCATTGTATTTGTTATCCAGAGTGTTCTGCAGTGAGCATTTGTTGCCTTTTATGGGCGGGTGAGTATTGGCTTCAGTTTGAAAATACATATATTTTTTGATATAACTAGGTATCGAACTTACGACCTTATGCTTACCAGGCAGGCGCTTATGCCGCTGAACTAAATCCCCAGCCCTGAAATTTTATTTTTAAGTTTACATATAGTAAAGTTCACTCTGGTATACAGTTCTGTGAGTGTTGACAAAGACATAAAATGTAACTACTGCCAATCCCAGAGATGTGCAGAATCCAACTGTAATCAGTAGTTTCTGTGCCTGGAACCAAGTAGTAAGTACTTACTGTTCAAATATAAAACAAAATCTTGAGGACAATTTCCCCAAGGAATATCAGAAAAATTTTAACAGTCTTGCTGGAGTTTTATTATGAAGTGTTTTAGCTCTGAGGATTTGGGGAAGAAACGTGTCATATCTTCAACTTACTACTTGCTTTTATTGGATCAGGGAGACAGAACCACTACAACACAAGCAACCATTGCAACCTCAAGTAATTATACCTGGTATTCCTGCTTTCTAGAAATTAGACTTAGGTATTAAGTCCCTTAAAGGGATAATTTTTCTTTACTATGTTCAAATATGCATCCATTTTAACCTACCTTGTTTCATTCTAGCTCATAGATAGATTCATGCACTTATCACCATAATCAAGATACAAAATAGTCCCATCTCTTAAAAATTCCTTCCTGCTATTTTTTTATAATTTCAGTCTTCTTTCCAATCCTAATTCTTTCAACTCCTAAGTCTGCCTGTCATCACTAGAAATTTTTCTTTTCATGTGTGGCTGTATCAGTTTGTTGACCCATTTACCCATTGAAGGATGTTTGGGTTGTTCCTACTTTGGGGAAATTATAAAATCAGCTTTATGAACATTCATATACAGGTTTATATGTGAACATAAATTTTTATTTCTCTAGAATGAACACCTAGGAGTAGGATTACTTGTTCAGAAAGAAGCCATTTAAGACATGGCCAAACTATTTTTCAGAATGGTGGTGTCACTTTTTATTCTATGAGCAGCAATACGCACATTCCAATTACTGGGCATGCTCATAGGCACTTAATATTATTGGCATTTTTTGTAGGTGTTTTACTAGATGTGGAGTGCTATCTCATTGTAGTTTTGAGTTTTAATATATTTTAGATATAGGTCCTTCATTAGATATACAATTTGCAAATATTTTCTCCCACTGTATTGCTTGCTTTATTTTCAGTGTGTTTCAGAATAAAACTTTCTAATTTTGGTCAAGTCCAGTATACTAATCTTTTGTTTCATAGATTGTGCTTTTCATCTCATGTTGAGAACTCAAATTTTTATTTATAAAGCTATGATCCATCTTGTGTTAATTTTTGTCTAAGATGAGGCTTAGAGCAAGACTCATTTTTTTTCCATTTTGGTCTATGTATATCCAAGTGTTCTGATACTAAATGAAAAGACTATCCTTCCTCTTTTGCACTGTTTTGTACCATTGTCAAAAAACATTTAAATGTATTTGTGTAGGTCTGTTTCTGGATCCTTTAGTCTCTTCCATTGATCTCTGTGCTTATCCATTTGCCAATACAGTCTCTCTCTTTTTTTTTTTTTTTTTTTTTTTTTTTTTTGGTACTGGGGATTGAACTCACAACTTCGCACTTGCCAGGCAGTCGCTAATGTTGCTGAGCTAAATCCCCAGCCCAATACCACAGTCTTGATTACTATAACTTCATGGTAAGACTTGTGCAGAATAATTCCTCTATTGTATTTTCTTGAAAATGTTTAGCTGTTCTAGTTCTTTTGTATTTCTATGTAAACTTTAGAGTCAATATGTCTTGATAAACAGTAACAAAATGTCTTGGTAATATGTGTATTGAGTTTATATTCAGTTTTTATCATTTGGGAGAGAATTAGTATCTTTATTATGTCAACTCTTTATCTGTGAACATTGTTTCATTTATGTAATTCATCTTTGATTTCTTTCATTAGCATTTTGTAGTTTTCAGCATATAAGTCCTATGTGCATTTTGTTAGATTGATCCCTAAGGAATCATTTTGTCTTAAACTTGGGTTTCAAATTATATACTATAAAATATGGAAGTAATATAATTTTTGTGCCAATATTGTTGTAGTTCAGAAAATTGTGGGTAAATCTTGTTTCTCTAACGGGTACTGAGGATGCATGAAATGTCAAAGATAAAAAAGAATTTAGATAAATGCATTATCGATATGCAGTCCTTGAAATTTGTTTTGTAAATTTGTGTTTATTGGCTCATATATTTGGCCACAGAATACTGTCAGAGTTTTAGGATGCCAGCTTATATGCGCAATGTCACATTTGTAAAATCTGCATTCATATAAATATATGTATGTGTGTGTGTGTGTATTTATATATATCTCCTTGGAGATTTCTAAAAGGATATTTAATATATAGCAAAAATTATATCTGAGTAATGAACATTGTAGTAGGTGATTTTTATTTTTTTTGCATCACTTTTCTGTATTTGAGTATTTCACAATAGACATGTATTGTTTTTATTGAAATAATAGAGCTGCTTTAAAAAGGAAAACTTAAAACAGTGAATTATAATATTGTCCTTACCAAGAGTGAGTATCATGGAGATACAGTTCCTATTTTGGAATTAAATACCTGCATACTAGAAATCTTGATATTGCCTGAGACATTTTAACATTCTAAATTTTTATATGGGGAAACAAATTATGGTACAACATAGAGAACATTCTAAAAATGCCACATTTGTAATTTCTCTTCTCTCTAATATTTCTAAAATCATATATTTGTCTTTACCAGGCAAAGGAAGTGGGTCTCTGTTTCTGGAGTATCAGTTTTTTTGTTTTGTTTTGTTTTGTTTTGCTTTTTTTTTTTTTTTTTTGATACTGGGGATTGAACTTATGACTTTGCATTTGCATTTGCAGGTGCTTGTGCTACTGAGCTAAATCCCTGGCCCAAGGTATCAGGATTTTTGAAAGTTCTTCCATATGATTACTAAATTCATTAATACATCTTGATGAATTCTACTGTAAGATTTAAGAACCACTGGGCTGGAGGTATACCTCAGTGGTAAAACACTTACCTAACATGCCCCGGGCCCTGGGTTTGATCTCCAGAACAACAATAAAAACCTTATTTTTCCTTTTTTCCATAAAATAAAAATTTAAAAATGATTTTAAAAGTCTCCAAGTAATTTAAAATGTTATTTGTATTGACTACATATGAAAATAAAAAGTATACATGTTTTTATACTATATCAAGTTGATTGTGTACTTACAGATGAGAAGGGAATGAAACTTTTAAAGCAAGATGAGTTATCCTGTGTCCAGAAATAATTTTATGAAAGCCAAAACCTCATTGAATCTTTTAATATTTTCATAGTCTTAGAATTTACCACCCTTATTAAGCCTTCTGGTATATTGCTGCCTCTTGACAAATTAGCATTGCCTCAACTTGTCTCTTCTCTATTGTGGGCATGACTTGTAAATGTAAGCAAAGAATATTTGTATATATAAATCTCATCCTCCCTGTATCTTTCCTAGGAGAACTCCCATATAGTGATGTCATTGTGTTATCTGATCCTATGTATGCAGAGAAGTTACGGTCTTTTCAGCCTTTTTAACTGGTTCTGGGAGCTGCAAAACAGTCAATACCCTCCCAACCTGTACTATTACTCATCACAGTTTTTTTAAAAATCTGTTTTAAGGTTCCCATCTGTAGGAAGTGCCTAGTTTTTATATAGGTGTAATACTCTATGAGCATGATCCAAAAGTAAAAAATGGGAAAGTCCCTGGACTGTTTTGTGTTTCCCAATGTTCCTCATAGGAATCAGATAACAGAAAGTGGACTGTGCAACTTTTTCAGTGTATAGGAACTTGAGTGTAATATTGGACTGTCCATCTTTTGAAGTGATTTGGGCTTCTTCAGAGTTCCTGTGGGAATTCCAAACTCTTGCAAACCACCTAGGCATGGTGGCACATGCCTGTAACCCCTGCACTTTGAAGGCTGAGGCAGAAGAATTGCTGTGAATTTGAGGCTACATAGTGAGTTGAGGCAAGACAGAACTATATAGTGAGACCCTGTGAAGGGAAAGGAGATGAAAAAAGGAATTAAGATGTGTTATGTACATGTACTAACTCCTCACAAGGAATGTACAGATTATGTACTATAGATGCATACTAACAGATAAAAATGTACACTTCATGGGAGAATTATCAAAAAGATTTGCAGTCTGTTTTTTAGTTAGCTATCCATCTATAGGTGCTGTCAGGACTGCAGATAGATATTTGGGTCCTCCTTCCTAAACACTGGATTTTTTTCCTGCTCTCATCTACCAATAGTGAAATGTCTTCAAGAAAGAGACAAATGAAATTAAAAGGAGCGGGTTCCAGTGTGTTAATATTCATCATGTATTACCCAGTGCGTTGCCAATTTCAAAGCATTTTCTTACTTAATGCCTTCCTCACAATATTCTTGATGCATGTAGAACAGTGACCTCAATATCTCCCAACCCAGTATAACAGAAGTCTGTGAAGTTTGGTACTTTGGATGTATGGTGTTATAGTGTGTTCTTCCTCTCACATTGTCTTTTGTTCCTTTTCCTTGCTTTGATTTAGTCCTTGATTATCTCATCCTTAGTTTCTAATTAATCTGTCTGACTTGGACTTTCCCCATATTCCATTTTCCATACTGTTTTTAAGATTTTCTTTCCAAATCAGAATAGAATGTCATCTTTCAGCTGAAAAACTTACCTGTGGTTTCTAGTTTCTTGCAGATTAAAATTCAAAGTCACAAAGCATTGCATTAGAACCCAGGCCAACCTATCTTATCTTTTATATCCTCATTGTCCCCTGTAGGCCATGTGCTTTGCTCTGCCTTTGTGCCTTCACTTCTGCTGTCTTCTGCCTAAAACCTTACCTCACCACTTATAATGCTCCATCCCTGTGTAATTCTGCTGCCTTCAGTGGCACCATCTCCGGAAAGCTTCCCCCACTTAAGTCTCCTGGCACGATGTCTTATTCTCCTTTACACTCCCATAATTTGTACATACCTCTGTGATGGCATTTACCATGGCTGGTTTATACTCAGTCATACTCATTCATTCACTCCTTCCCCACCCATCTCTTTCTCTATATCTGTCTCTGTCTCTGCAGGAAATGGAACCTGGGGCCTTGGGCATGCTAGACAGTCACCCTACCACTAGCTACATCCCCAAACCTTTAGAGTCTCTTAAAACTGTATGGTCAGGGCTGGGGATTTAACTCAGCGGCAATAAGTGCCTGCCTTGCAAGCAGGCAGTCGTGAGTTCGATCCCTGGTACCGATAAAAATGAAAAAAAAAAAAAGAAAAAAAAACTGTATAGTCATATCTTTCCTGTTGTCACCATAACTAAATACTCAAAAATAGCATTTTGAGAAGCTCTTAGCACCATGTATATTTAGTTTTGTGTGCTTTTTTAACCTAGCCCTGGTATGCACAAATTTCCTGTTACAGAAAGAAGGGTGATGGGCCTAGTTGGCTTTTGTCTCCTGTCAAAGAGTTGTTATGTGTATGGATCATATGCTCAGTGATACTGATGGTGTATTAAGGAAAATCAGTACAAGTAGGAGAGTGACTGATAATAGAATGTGAAATTCAGACTTCTGCTAGAGGCCTCAGTAAAGCTTATCACATTCAGTCCTTTAGCAATTACAATTTCTTTCCTCTTCCATATTTAATTGGTGATTGTGGTGTACCTAATATACTAGAATAATATAGTTCAGTAACAAAGGACTTTAAATGTTTAAAGAATTGTATATAGAATTACCTTGTTTTCAGGGAACCTTTCTTCACCATCCACTTTCCAAATGCTATTTTCAGTTTTTAGAAGATAACTTGAGTATATGATGCAAAATTAAATGTTTGACCAGTACTAATGCAGGGTGTCATTTGTAGTCTGAAGTTGGTAGTATAAGCAACTCTGCAGGAATAAGCTAGACCAACGGAATGGATAAGAGTTTACATGACCTTTTTATCAGGCCATCACTAGCAGTTGGTAGAACAGCAGTATTTTTTTTAAACTCCTTTCCTCCCTTTTTTTTAAACTGGTAGAAATGCAATTTGCAACACTTGGAACCTTGTAAAACATAGTCAACCAAGCAGATAAAACAAAGCCATTGAACTCATGTGCTAGGGAAAGCTTTGTGTAAGCCGACTCTGCCTCCTTGGCCAGCAGTGCCTCTTTCAAAATCTTATGACCCTGTCCCTATATCTCTATCTCCCTTGTTTCTGTTGAGGCCAAGAGCCAGGCACATAGCCTTTGTATTTGGCTTTAATCTTATAGTTGTTTTATCATTCCAGGACCATGTCTTGACATGAGACCCCTCTAAAACATCTATTACAATGCCATAGACTTGGCAGACATTTGATTTTATGTGAAGTCACACTCACTGGAAGTTCCATTTCTGTATTTATAAACATGTGCATTGTAATAGCAACTCATTTTTCTAAATGCATGCTTCACCTGACTCTGGTAATCAGAAGTTAATGTCTGTTATCCATCACGACATTTGTTTCACAGAAAGAAAAGACGGGTTGTTTGGAAAAATACAAATTAGGATTTGGCAATGTTAAAATTAATCCATTGCATGTTTTGGAAGTTTGAAGAACCTGTTTGTTAAACTTCTAAGTAACACACCTATGGTGTCTAATTGTTGCTCAAAGAATCTGTTTCAAATCAAATTTTGACCTGCATAAATGATATTATAATGTTTTTGGAAATGGGTTCTAAGCAATCTTTATTTCCTTTTCTGTTATGGAGCCGAATTTCCCCAACCAAGATTATATAAAATGTGTACTAGTATTTTGTGTGTATTTTTGTAAAATTTGGTTTACGATCCAAGAGCTTTAGAACTTGATCAAGCTGGTTATATATATATACACTTTTTTAAAGTCAGGAATCATGCCTTTTCCTCTAAAGTAGACAATCAAAATAAGCAGCTTGAAGAGATGGATTTAAGACAGCAAAATTGTTGTATCTTCAACTGTGTAAAAGAAGTACTGTACCTTGGACCAGAAAACATGTATTAGCGATGGTTCGATTAGTGACTGTGAGAGCAAAATAAATACCATAGTGTAAAATACAATTCCACATGACAGCATGTTTAGCTAGTACTGAACATCAGAATTTAAAGACCAAGACAATATGTTCTCCCTTGTGTAAAAATACATCAATAATGGAGTCTTATAGTACCATTGCTTGATTAAATTACAGAGAGATCTGGTCAGGTCTTATTATTGTTTTATAGGAGAAGTAAACGGTAAATATTTGTCATAATCCTATCCAAAAAAAGTTGCCTTGTTTCTCCTTTTCAGTCCATTGCTTTTGCAGTGTACTTGCAAGACGTGCGTTATTGTTTATTTTGAATGTAGAAGAATGATCAGAACATTACTTTTACTGGAAAATGGCATTGTAACCAATTACACGATAGACTTAGAGGCACTGGGATATTTCCTTTCTTCTGTTAATCTTTAAACGATCTCTGTACATGCAGAAAGAAGATACTGTGAAAGACCCCAGATTGCAAAAGCTGTGCCACTTCTTCTGAGAGCTTTGGGGCAATCCTCTGATGTGTAATTGCTTTTACATCAGTCACAAGAGAGAGACAAGAATGCACTTTCCTTGAACTTAACAGTTTGGGCAATTTTCTATAATCCAGTAAATACAAATTGTAGCTTGATTATTCATCTACGTCTGTCAAGCAAATTTTAATGGATGAATGAATGAGTCAAATCTATGCATGGAAATATACAAATGTGCAAAATATGGGTCTAATTACCAGGCTGCTGAATTTACACAAGGTCAGGTAAACAAGGCACCAGTGTAATGATTATTAATTGTTAATAATGCCTTTGGGAAAACATTCACATTTTCCTTCTGAATACCTAACAGTTTGCTTCCCTAGTCATTTTTAAACTCTGAAAATTTTAGCTGGTCTGAAAAAACAAAAACATTTTTGCCCTACTTTTATCCTTTCCTTATAATTGCTTACTAATTATTTTAGAATAACATGTAACATGTAACATTTTTCAGTACCCTTTTGAAAAATCACAGTTTAATGCGATACAGAATTAAAGGAGGTAACATACTCACAGCAGAATGAAATAGCTGCTATCTTTTGTCTCCATTGAAGGGAAGAACATGTCCCCCCCCCCCATTCTCTACCCTCTTTTCAAACCTAGTCGACATTCTAAAACACAAAAACCAAGGTGGTAATAAAGGAAAGGATAGCAGAGCAGGCTTTTTTCCCCTCTATTTACCATAGTAAGTCAACATTTGACTCTGTCTTGATATTCTATAAAATGAATGTTGGAAAAGGAATAATATCAATGGGTAGTTTCCCATCGAAATGCCCAAGGGCCGAAATAATTGAGGGCGTACTTGCTGAGGTTTTTCTTAGTTCAGTAACTCTTGATCACTGTGCAGTTTTATAGCTGTGCTATCATTAAGGGCTCTCCATGTCTGGAAGGACACCCCCCTCTCCCAGCTTTAATCCAAAAGTCATAAATTGTAGAACTAACATGTCTGCAGGTCACCCAGGCGAAAACACTGTATCTGGAGAAATCTATCTTGCTGCCACTGTGCTTTGAAAATCTTTTGAATATTTTGCATTAATAGTATTGCTGCAATCTCTTGCTGGGCTGTCGTCTCATCTTCCACATTCAGAAGTTTGTCTCCATAGCTAATGTAAACATTCTCTCTGTTCTAGGCCTTACTTCCTGCTACATATCTGTGTTTGATGTTACAATATGAGTACATGCTCCTTTTTCTGTGGGAGTAGCACTCATATCTCCCTTTCATTTCTATGTTTCTGAAGCACTATTTTTTAATCATGTGAACTTGGTTTTACTGGATTTAAATTATATTAATTGGGATAATTTTTTGAGCTTAGTTCTATAGGTAGTGTATCCTATCCTATCCTATTTGATATATCACTCTAGAATCTAACTTAAAATAGTTTTTTTACACTCATGATGCTACAGAGACTTAATTAAATGTATATAGAATGATAGCAAAACTTTTTTCAGGCAAATGAAACATCATTACCTATCAAATCATGATTCTTCTAGGCAGACGTTGTTTTCTTGTGACTGTCCATGCCACTTGCCATCTGTCTGTTTAAATTCTCAACCTTTGAGACCCAAGGTCATCTCATTTCTTGGAAGCTTTCTGTGGACATCACAGCTGTGGAAGGGTTTTTTGTGCTCTAAATCCCTAAAGAACTTTGAATGTATAATTTTCCTCCCTCAATTTCTTTAATATAGTCTCTTAGAGTTGCATTCTTTTATTTGGCAAACGATTTTGCTCCCTGTAAGGTTGTAGACTTCTTGAGAGCAGGAGAAAGAAGAAAGAATAATATTTTAAAGCTGTCTGTCAAACACTTTGCTCAGCATTTTTTACATACATGATATCATTTAATTCCTGTAACAACTCTGTGAAGTGGATGGTATTTTTTCCCCATTTTTATAGAAAAGGAAGCTGGGCCTTGAAAGAAACTCAGCCAATGTTAGAAGGATAGTGCATTGTAAAACTAGAATTTAAAATTGGGCCTCTCTGATTGAACGCAAAAACCCATCTACTGTTTTTAAAAAGCCTCCTCCACAAAAAAAGAATAACAATTTGCATCCTTGTCTGTTAAGTTACTAGAAAGTTCAAAGGACAAAACAGGTGTTCAGTAAATGATTGAATTTATGACTGTGTGAATTCAGTAACTTCAGCTTCATTTCTTTTACCCATCTGCTATTGGTAATGTGAATTAGCAATAAAATAGCCAAAGCCTTTCGTAAGGGCCCTCTGTTCTCCGAGAAGGTTAGTACAGGAAAGGTTGACAGTTGTCAACCTTTTTCTAATCTTAAGACTAGTACTTAAGGCAAATTCTTTTTTCTCTTATTGATCTCAACATTCATGGGTACTGTTGAATGTTTGCATTTCATTTTAAGAAAGTAAATCTCTTTGTTAGCAGCATGAATAATCTGTTTTTTCTGTCAACAAACTCGTAAAACTCCAGAGATTTAAAACAATACACATTCTAAAATGTATATAACCTAAAGAATATTTTCCCCTTGCTTTGAGTGTTTACGCCAGCACTAAACCTGGGCATTCATTAAAAGGCTGTGGATTTCAATTTAGGGCTCAGTGCTGAGTTGTAATTTTGTCTATAGATAGGAAAATTCGGCATTACCTTTCATAGAAAGTAGAGTGTTGTACATTAGGATAACAACTTTACCTTTTTATTTAAAATAGTAATTTTTTAGTGAGGTATGGCCCTTGTCAAAGAATAATTATAGGGACTAAGAAGGTTACCAACTAAAGAAAGAAAATAATTTCATTTTGGTGAGGAAAAGCCATGTGACTCAGCTCTAGGGTGACAAAAGTATGATCTGTATTAGGTATTTGAGGTTTCTTTTTATCATTGTTTATGCATATTGATAAGTTCAGCCTATTTTGCAAACAGTTACTAATGCCATAATGCATTTTCCCATATCTTCCAGCTGAATTTTTTACTATTATTGATTGAGGATTCAATTGAGAAATGTGTTTAGAACCCTGCTTTCCGTGGTAATCATAGAAGTCAGTGGGAAGACAAGAAAATTGTATTGAAAGAAATTGTGTGCGTGTATGTTTTGTGTTTCAGCATAGATTATCTCTGCCAAAATAATAGCTGTCATTTTGTTCTCATTATAT